ATTTTCATTTTTTTTGCAAATAATAAACAAACAATGAAAAAAATTTAAATATGCAATAAACCTCTTTTGTTTCCAAATCTGCAAGTTCGGCTCTTGAGTTTTGAAAGAGCTGAAATGAAAAAATACACACAAATGTATAATATGAATCAAATGTATAAAATTATATAATAAGTATATAAATTTACCTCGAAAATTTATTGGAATAAAAGTGTTTTCCGATTACATGGTTTCATTGAAATATATTTAATAACCGGCAGTAGGTGCGTAATTTTATCCTACAGGTTTAAATAATAATTTTAAAGGTAAGTTTTTCTAACAAATAGATAATTTTGGATCACTCGAAACCTTATTAAATTCAGTCCTAAGAAAATCCTAATGTTGATTTTATTAACGTTGTTCTTATTCCTTGTAAGAAATTCATAGGGATGAATTTTAAGGCTTGAAATAGATCAAGATCATGATATACCTTTTCATTTAGACGATCATAAGCCTTTTTAAGGTACATAATAGTAAAGTTCTTTACTAAAGCTGAATCCATAAAATTTTCTGAACAAACAATTTTAATAAGCGAATCCCATGGAAGTTTGACATTTTTCGTAATTCTTTTACTAATGTGATTAGATATTTCTATGGTTTGGTTTCATTTTTTATTAAAAAAATAATTGTTAAATAAATCGGAATGCCATATCTATCAACTGTTTTTCTTTTTTTCTTTTTTGTTTTGTTTTTACCTTTCTTCGCACAATTTCATGAGAACTTGCAAGCGTTTCCAGGATAAGGCTTATAAAATCATTTAATTTTTCCTCAAATTGAGCATCATTTTTAGCACGACAAAATTGAATTTCTATGTGCTATAGCAATCCTAAGTTTGCATAACATTTTGAATGATTAATATTTTATGAATTACAAAAGTGAACTATAGGAATACCTACGTATTTCATTATCAGCCATTATGCAAATAACTTTTGAAAAGCGATTTTAACGTTTAATGAAATATTTTACGTATATATACTTACTTTATATATTTAACACTAATAAATAAATTTTGGATTTTATACGTATACTGTACGCACACATAAATCTCCATGTTAAGATAATGCAAATTGCGTATTAATTTCAATAGATTGATGGGCATATAAATAATACGCATACAGCTGGTTGTTTTTTTATTCTATATAAAGTGATTGATTTCCTATGTACATGCGTACATACTTGTACGGTATGTAAAATATGGTAATTTATATAGAAAACAACGAAAACTAATTCTGGAGTTTTCTGGAGGAGTTTGAAACATATTTTTCATTAGAATATATCGAATTTGTAAAAATAATCAATATAATCAATTAGTAACGCAATCTGCTGATCATTAGAATGAATAATAATAAGCACAAATTTGTAAAAAAAGATGTGTAACTTAGTAAACCTAAAGCACGTCTGAAAAACATAGCGGAAGTTGTTTTTATTGGCTGATATTATTAGGATAAATATGATTGACGAGGATCTTTTTTTATATAGCAGATAGT